CTTCAGGGTTTTTATCAATTTTATTATTTTAATTATTATGTATATTTTATTTTTTTGCTTCCAAAATTTGGTTGAACAAGATTCTATATTTTAATTGGGCACAAACGTTTCTCCTATTAATCGCCAAAGAGTTCTTTCTTCCCTTCGTTCTTTCCTTCATTCATTTTTTATTTATTTCTTCTTTCTTTCTTTCGTTCAGTCTTTCACTCATTTGTATTTATTCGTTCTTTCTTTTTTTCATTCATTCATTCTTTCATTCCTTCTTTCTTTCTTTCATCGTCCTTTATTCATTCGTTCTTTCTTTCATTCATTCATTCTTTCATTCCTTCTTTGATTCGTTCTTTCTTTCTTTCATTCATTCGTCCTTTATTCATTCGTTCTTTCTTTCTTTCATTCATTCATTCTTTCATTCCTTCTTTTTTTCTTTCTTTCATTCATCCTTTATTCATTCCTTCTTACTTTCTTTTCATTCATTCATTCTTTTATTCCTTCTTTCTTTCATTCATTCATTCTTTCATTCCTTCTTTCTTTCTTTCATTCATCCTTTATTCATTCCTTCTTTCTTTTTTTCATTCATTCATTCTTTCATTCCTTCTTTCTTTATTCATTCATTCTTTTATTGATTCTTTCTTTCTTTCATTCATTCATTCTTTCATTCCTTCTTTCTTTCTTCCATTCATTCTTTTATTCTTTCATTCATTCATTCCTTCATTCCTTCTTTCTTTCATTCGTCCTTTATTCATCCCTTCTTTCATTCATTCATTCTTTCATTCCTTTTTTCTTTCTTTCGTTCTTTCTTTCACTCATTCTTTATTTCTTCTTTCTTTCTTTCTTTCTTTCCTTCTTACTTTCATTCAATCATTCATTCTTTATTTCTTCATGTTAAAACACCTGTTCCCGAACGTGCGCCGAAGTTAAGCAAGGTCGAGAAGGTCGGTAGCTAGGTGGGTGACCTTTTGAGAATAGCAGGTACTGTAAGCATGGGTGTGCTGATGGTGCAATGGATAATGGTTCGGTGTTGTTAATCGGAAAACCAAGATCTAATTCCAGTCGGGTTTTTTATATTCAATTATACACAAATACAATTTTGAAAGATACGAATCCACCTCTTCTCCCTCCAGCTATGGATTAAATAATAAGACTTGTATCTCTAAACCATTATTATCTCCCCCACCCAACAAAAATCTTACAATTTAAAAATATTTTCTGGCTTTAAATAACCTGCAAAGGGTTGATAACCCGTAAACAAAAGAATCAATCATTAATTATACATTATATGTGTATTCTGAATATACTAATATAAGCCTCTAATCAATATATATATATATATACATATATATATATATATATACACACACACACACTCGGCTCTCCCCGTCGGATTCGACGTATGAGGGTCAAGCAGATCCGGAAACCGACAGCCTGACAACAGCACATGAGATTTGATTATAGTGGGGAAGGTTTCGTGCAGGACCATCCACACTTTTTTGAAGGGCCGAATAAAAAAACCTGGTGCACTAAGTGCCACAAGGTCCCCCAAACGACGCTCCGCAGGTTTTGAATTCAGAATTGTCCTTCTCCTAGACCGGTTGCCATCAAAGGCTATAGAACCCAGTCTGTCCTGCTATTTACCCATAGCTGGAGGGAGAAGAAGAGGATTCACACCTTTCCCAAGGGTATTAGCACGTCAGTGAATGTAATGGATTCGACTGGAATTCGAACTCGACTCTCCGATTCCTCAATCCAAGACGCTATCCATTACTCCACTGTGACTCTCTATCTCTATCTCTATCTCTATATATATGTATATATATATATAATTAAATTAAAAGCATTAGTTCTGTTTCATCTTCAAGCGAATTTTGGAACAATTCACTTAAAGATGAAACAGAACTAACGCTTTTAATTTAATTATATAATTATAAGTTTTTAGCTTCGGTTTTTGAAACATGGTTATTAATGTGTAGCGAAGAAACCATATCTTAAATCAGTTAATTTATAATATTTATGCTCTGTTGAGCACTGTTTCGTAAAAATAAAAAAAATATCAATATGAACACCGGATTATATATCTTACTGTTCTTTCATTTATATATATGAATGTATTTTTATCAAGATCGTTATATATATATATATATATATATATATATTAAAATGATTCCTAATTTAGTCTAATAATTATATTAAGGCATTAATTAATTTTAATCAGGTTTTTGAATTATCATATACTTGTACTGTGATTATCGTTGCATACTTAACAATGTTTACCCTATGAAGATAAGTTTGGTTGTTTGATCAAATTCTTTATCCTACATTCAACACGATCACTTGAGACAACACCAGAAGTGTTGAAACAAAATAGCTATTTTTGATGTTATAACATGTTTATGTTATAATTTTTGAATAAATACTATTTACACAGAATTGAGCCCTCTTTTAAGAATAGTATTTTTGATGATTGCAATTTTATTATAATCTATACCATTCCTACACTTGTATATATATATATATATATATATATATATATATATATATATATATATATATATGTATGTATGTATGTATCTATACACGCATATCATGCAAACTTTGAAAAACATAATTTTGAAGCTAACTTGACTAGAGTAAATGAATATAGAGTTTGGTCAACTGCATAGCCAAGGCCATCAATACATACGCTAATTATATACATCGTGTATGATGCAACCACATTAAAATTAGCTTCAAAATAATTTCTTCAAATGTCGCAGGAAACGCAAATATAAACGGCATATATATATACACTTGATTATTACTATATGGTCGTTTGATTTATCTATCATTATATATACATACATACATACATATATATATATATATATATATATATATATATATATATATATATATATATATATATATATATATTGCACATTTCATTGAAAACGACAAATAAAATTACTTTTATTTAGATTTTTATACAATTTCTCATGTGATTTTTTTTCTTTTCGGATGATAAATTATATAAAAGCACCTTGTCTGTCGTTTTCAATGAAATAATAAAAAAAAAAAATAAGATTGCTGCCTAAATAAACAAATATATATATATATATATATATATATATATATATATAAACCTAGTAAAATATTGTTTTATTGTATTATTGTTATAAAGTAATATATATATATATATATATATATATATATATATATATATATATATATATATATATATATATATATCTTCGGCGATAGAAAACGTAAATAAATGTTACGAACTGCGGATTTTTACTTCATATGTCCTTTTCTCTTATTATATATATATATATATATATATATATATATATATATAGAGAGAGAGAGAGAGAGAGAGAGAGAGAGGGAACAGTGAGTGATATTAGCATCGAAAATCCCGAAGAGAAATTAAAAAAATTTACAGATACGTATAAATCGTTTCTTCAAATCGCCATACACGTTTATATTCACATGTATAAGGACACTGGATGAGCAGGTGTACATTTACTTAAATATGCATTGAAATCTAACCAGATTTCTCTGGATGGAATATATGACTATATAAGGAGGTTTCAATGGATACAAAGTTAATGATGCCGTATACAGTGTCGGCGAGCCAAGTTCAAATTGCGGCTAAAATACATCGTTTAATTCTTGCACTATTTGCCTTAAAAGAACCAGAATTCCTTCATTTACAACCAAGCTAGCTGACTAACTGAGTGGGCTTTCTAACCTTGCCTGGCAACCAGCCTAGGAGAAGGAAAAAAGTAATTCAAAGCCGTAAGGAAGCTAATATGAAAACACTACACTAATTTTCCCGAAAATACAACAATCATGCCGGTGCGATGTTCACATTTATTAAACAATAGGAAGGTGTGAAGAGCCATAATCGCATAAATTGAGAAAGGTTATTGCACTTTAGCAGAAAGATATTTATAGGTCATAAAAAATACATTTTATATATGCATCTATATATATACGGGTATGCATATATACTGCTACTTTTTTTTTCAAATACACCAACTATATATATATATATATATATATATATATATATATATATATATATATATATATATGCGTGTGTGTATATATCGCCAGGCATGAAACTGCCGGCCCTGCGTGTTGACTTCAATATCGACATTTATGTTTACATACGATCTATGACTGATATCGAGCACTTTAAGCCATATATTTTATAATTAAAACTATATTTATCATATATATATATATATATATATATATATATATATATATATATATATATATATATATATATATATATAAACGAGGATATATATATATGGACATATATATATATGAGGAATATTTTATAACCACGATATCTACATTGCATATATTATTCATATCAAATTATATGTATCTATGTATCTATGTATCTATCTATCTATCTATATATATATATATATATATATATATATATAATTACTTTAAACGTTATTTAGTGGATATGTCGTCGCCTTGGCGTATGATAATGATTAAGAATGCTACTTTAGGGAAACGTTAAATCCATTATGCATGTTGCTCATACAATATTCAACATAAAATAACCCATCCTTGATTGACATTTGTAAAATACCCATATATATATATATATATATATATATATATATATATATATATATATATATATATATATATATATATAGAGAGAGAGAGAGAGAGAGAGAGATAGAGAGAGAGAGAGAGAGAGAGAGTAGTGGATAGCGGCTTGGATTGAGGAATAGGAGAGCCGAGTTCAATTCAGTTGAATCCATTACATTCACTTACGTGCTAATACCCTTGGGAAAGGTGTGAATCCTCTTCTTCTCCCTCCAGCTATGGGTAAATAGCAGGACAGACTTGGTTCTATAGCCTTGGATGGCAATTGGTCTAGGAGAAGGACAACTCTGAATTCAAAACCTGTGGAGGGTCGTTTGGGGGACCTTGTGTCACGTAGTGCACCAGGTTTTTCTTATTCGGCCCTTCAAAAAGTGTGGATGGTCCTGCACGAAACCTTCACCACTATAATCAAGTCACATGTGCTGTCGTCGGGATATCGGTTTCCTCGGAACAGATCTGCTTCACCCTCATACGTCGAATCCGATGGGAGAGTCGAGTATATTCAAATATATATATATACATTCCATCACAAACTCAGTCTATTCCGGGGTTGAATAAGACGGCCGAATTTTTCGTCGATTGAAATAAGGTCTGTTACCCATATGAGTTAATTTTGGATTTTATTGTGTACTAATTATATTGCTCTGTAATAATAAATACATCAAGCTCTTTTTGTGGATCAATTTCAATATGTTATATTACTAGTATCCACTTGGATTATATACCAATGGATTTATTACCTTTACAATATATATATATATATATATATATATATATATTCTAGGATTCATGTAATTCATCAAAATCATTTTTAATATTTTTATTTTCATATTTTTTATCATAATGCATTCGAGAGCGAAAATTTTGAACATTAAATGGATTGATAAGTGTAATATTGAGTTGTTTGTATAATCAATATAACATGTTTTGTGCACACAATTTCTTTTTAATTGCTGTATACCTACTTTTGCATACCCTTGTACACATAATTCTCCTCCTAAGGAGGAAAAAATATTCGATCCCTGTCAGAGAGTACATTTGCTTTTTTAAGTTTTCTCGTGTATATAGGCAGAGAGACGTAATACACAAATGTTTAAGATAAAAACGAGCCATGTATTTACAATAGAACCATTCACACGATTTACATTATACGGACTATTGTCGTTATCTTTGTCGCCATATTTATGTTTCGGCTGTTGTACGCTCCGGCCTTCTTCATGTGGTTGAAATGTAGAACTTTATTTCGCTCACTCAAGGACACAGGGCACAATGTATAAAGGCGTTAGTTAGATCCAGTGACA